AGACTGAAACATGAACAGAACCAGAGACTGAAACATGAACAGAACCTCAAATTCAAGAAAATTCAAGTCCTGCTCTTTAAAGCAGTCTCTGGGGACAAATGTCTTGTTGGGTACCGATCTTGCGTTCATCAAAGATATCCTGATAGGGTCCAAAACAGACACAGCAGTGGTGAGGGAAGTGCACGTCAGCGACCGCAGATTTTGAAGATCAGCACCTCCTTGTGCCGCACGCAGGTAAATAACTCCAGTTGTTTACATGGTCTGAGCGTACGGGAAGCTGGCCAGCATCAGGGCCTCTGAAACACCATGGGTCAGAGAGTTGATGGTCAGATCCAGAACGAACCCTGTAATCCTTGGCAGAATAATCCAAACGGTGTCTCAGCTTCACCAACTCCCCAGCACGCTTTCCTCGATGTCTGTAACTCTACCTCCAGGGAGAAGGGCCAGGGCCACGAAGTAGGAAAGCAGGAATCTTGGACAGAACTGGTTGAAGAGAGTCCTGACCGCTGTAGAAAAACTCTGCATGCAATTCCATAGATCTATGGAGCTCCAAAAAAGTGTCCGATGATCATACTGTAGATATGAGTCAACACACTGCGCAAAACATTGTAAAAATAGCAAAAATAAAAACAACAGACAGCGATGAACAGCAAGCCCTACACACTGGCGCCATCTTGGAATTCCTTTAATTTAATTGGTCAGAAAACTCGCCTGACCTTAACTCCATAGAAGATCTATGGTGTATTGTGTAGAGGAAGATGATGCACCAGAGCCAACAATTCAGAAGAGCCGAAGGCCACGATCAGAACACCTGAGCTCTCAGAACCTGAGCAGAGACACAGACTGATCCACTCCCTGACACGATGCAGTGATGCAGTAATCCAGATACAAGGAGCAACAACTAAGTACTGATGCTGAACATGCTCGTACTTTAAAGTTGGTCAACATTTCTAAAAATCCTTTTTTTATTGGTCTTAATATTCTAATTTTCTGAATTTGGGGTTTTCATTATCAGCAACATTAAAAGAAATAAACATTTAAAATATATCAGTCTGTGTGTAATGAATGAATATAATATACAAGTTTCACTTTTTGAATGGAATTACTGAAATAAATAAACTTTTTCATGATATTCTAATAATAATAATTCTAATGATAATTCTAATGGTCTTCAGTTGATCCAAAATGCTGCTGCCAGAGTCTTAACTGGAGTTACTGGGAGAGATCATATCTCTCCAGTTTTAGCTTCTCTCCATTGGCTCCCTGTCAAATCCAGAATAGAATTCTAAATCTTACTTCTAACCTACAAAGCTCTCAACAACCTAGCTCCATCTTATATTACAGATCTTATTGTTCCATATTTTCCTAACAGAGCACTTCACTCTCAGACTGCAGGTTTACTTGTGGTTCCTAGAGTTTCCAGCAGCAGAATGTGAGGAAGATCTTTCAGTTCTCAGGCTCCTCTCTTGTGGAACCAACTTCCAGTTTCTGTCCATGAGGCTGACACATTGTCCAGTTTTAAAACTTTCCTTTTTGATAAATCCTATAGTTAGGTTGTTATGCTGCTATAGACTTAGACTACTAGAGGACAAACTGACCTCATTTCCTTAAATGAATTGTTAAAATTGAATAGTTTTCATTTGATACTATTTCTATCTTAACATGTGATTCTGGTTCTGCTAAAGGTTTCTTCCTCATGAAGGAGTTTTTCTTTCCACTGTCGCCTTCATGCTTGTTCAAGATGAGAGTTCAGTGATGGAGTTAAACTCAAAGCTGCTCCTCAGATAAATAATGTTCAATTATTATTTTATAGATGAATGTTTCTGTTCAATTATTATTTTATAGATGAATGTTTCTGTTCAATTATTATTTTATAGATGAATGTTTCTGTTCAATTATTATTTTATATATGAATGTTTCTGTTCAGTCCCTGAGACGACTTCTGTTGTGACTTGGAGCTTTAGAAATTGAATTGAATAGAAAAGATGTCAGAAGATCAGTGGTTGGAAGTAAAACATGAAAAACATCTGGAGCAGAGACAAAACGAGTACAGGTAACTCCAAATTGCAGCTAAAGTGACTGAAATAAGAGTTTAAAACTGCAGCCGGTCAGTCGTCAGGATAGAAAAGGTGTTTGTTTTTTAAAAACAACAAAACAAAACATGTGTACATCTTTCATAAAACTCTGCACTCTGGGCCTTTGACTTCTTCTGGCTGCTTCAGTGGGATTTCTGGATGGAACGAGGCAGCGAAGAGGGTCCAAGCCAACCAGCCCCTGCCACTCCTTTGATGTGAAGCGGTCCACATGTGAAACTGTCAACCAGCTTTGTGGATCCATAATGTGATGGAGTGTTGATAGCTGGTGTGTGAGACCACCAGACAGCAAACAGATTTATTACACCAATACCAATTTATTTATAAAGCACTTTAAACAGTGACAAAGCACACCAAAGTGCTGTACAGGGACAAACAGAGCAAGGACATAGCAACAGATTACATAACAGGACACCAAAAAGTAGAAACCAACAAAAACAATAATGGATAACAACAACAACTGCAACATGACCAACACAGTGTGATGCACACAGACTCAGCACAGATCACACAGTGCAGAAAGCCAGGGAATAGAAGTGTGTTTTTAAGCAAGATTTAAAAACTGTGAGGGAGGGGGCCTGTCTAACGAGCAGAGGTAACTCATTCCAAAGTCTTGGTCCTGCTACAGAGAAGGCCCTGTCACCTCTGCGCTTGAGACGGGTTCCTGGGACTGTTAGGAGCAACTGGTCTGCTGATCTGAGAGAACGTGGTGGGACATACGGCTGGAGCAGATCAGTAAGATAGGAGGGGGCAGAGCTGTTTAGTGATTTATAGACATACAAGAGTATTTTGAATTTGATTCGAAGGTGAACCGGAAGCCAGTGTAGGGAGGCCAAAACAGGAGTAATGTGCTCTCTTTTGCTTGTGCTGGTCCAAAACCGGACTGCTGCATTTTGGACCAGTTGGAGTCTAGCTATGGAGGTCTGACTGATACCAAAAAGGAGTGAGTTGCAATAGTCGAGCCTGGATGTAATGAATGCATGAATTACTGTCTCCAGGTTATTTCTGGACAATATGGGCTTCAGCTTAGACAGTCTCCTCAGCTGGAAAAAGCAGGATTTAACAATCATATTTACATGATTGTTGAGTTTCAGAGAAGGGTCAAGTATCACTCCTAGATTAGTGACTCTTTGTTTCACTAACGGTGACAGAACGGATAGGTCGATGCAGTGGTTGGTGATTGTGTCATTGGGAGGAAACAGCATAACTTCAGATTTCTTCTCGTTGAAACTCAAGAAATTTAAAGCCATCCAATCTCTGATGTCAGCCAGGCAGTCCAGTAACGGTTGAATAGAGCGAGTACCGTTGAGTCTGAGGGGGAAGTAGATTTGGCAGTCGTCGGCGTAAAAATGAAAAGGTATGTTATGTTTCCTGAAAATAGCACCTAGTGGCAGCAGGTATAAAGAAAATAAAAGAGGACCAAGGATGGACCCTTGCGGTACCCCCCATTTAAGCGCTGCCGAGGCTGAACTAAAATCTTTGATGGAGACACAAAAGGACCTGTCAGCGAGGTAAGATCTAAACCATTCGAGGGCTGACCCAGTGATGCCCACCCACTGCTCTAACCTCGCAATGAGGATCTTGTGGTCGATTGTATCAAAGGCAGATGTGAGGTCCAGTAAGAGAAGGAGCACAGAATCACCAGCGTCTGAATAGGAGAATGTCGTTAAAAACCTTAAGTAGAGCAGTTTCATGAGGAAAGACCCTTGAGGAAACACAGAAACTTTGCATTTAGTTTAAAAAATATATTCACTTTTCAAAATCACCAGCCTTACCAGTTCATGCATAATCAATAAAGTCTGCTCACTGAGTGTTATATTTGAAAGAAGAATGCAGTTATATTATTTTTAACAGTTTTAAGTAGGGGTGCACCGATTGCAGTTTTCTGACCGATCACAGATTTCTAAAAAGCCTGACCTGCCGATTTTGTTTTATAAGCGACACTGTCAGGAGTTTTAAAGTCACAATTAACCTTCAATTTTCCAATCTTATTTTATGAAACAATATAGTATAAACAATACAAACTTGTTTTAACTGGCCATGAGGTAGTGCTCTGAAATATAAATGAAGTTCAGACAATTGTTAAAACTAAAAAAATCTGTAAAATCTGTTTCTCATGCAAGTATCAGCCGATTTCCCAAAATTAAAGAAATCAGGGCCAATAAATCACCTGTTTTTCTACCCAGTGAGACTACCACTTGAGTTATGGCAAACCCCCACTGCAGCCTCTCCTCTAAGGGGTATATCGGACCAATCTAGCACTTGAGCTTTACCCAGAATGACGTTAGATTAGTTCTGTTTAAGGCTGTGTTGGAGGTGATTCACCCAGACTGTTCACGACCATCAGTTGCGAGCCACACCCTTATCTCACCCCGAGACTCGTCCAACCTAGTAGTCGGGGTTGGGACGTTGATCAAGGGGAAACTGGCATTTTTAGGCCGCTCACCTCCTATTGTATAACTGCAATTGTTACTGATCTGGTAGTTTTCAGAATCTAGGTACAAGATTCCAGGGTGTTGTTTGATCCAAGCTGCAAAACCTTTAAAAACCTCCTTTTTCTGATGAAATTGAACCAAGCTTCTCTAACTTTTGATAGTCCAGAATTTTACATTTTATGCTTTGCTTTAATCAAGGATTTGCAGGGATACAGCGTTATCAGCACATTATAATTGATTACATATGATTATTTTAAAAAATTCTAATGACAGAGAGTTCATGCCTGGTTCCAGGGACTGTCTTATTGGTTTATGTGACATTCAAGGTCCTTGGGTGTCCACAAGGTGTGGCTCCCCTGACTCCGATGAGCCAGGTTGGAGAGTCCTGTCTCCTAACTCTTGAATTGTCTTTATAGACCAGCCTGTTCCTAATACAGTGGACTGTTATGCACTTGGAGCCCCAAGGCAGGTTAAAACCCCTCAAACATCTAAGTCTGTCTCACAAACCAACCAACCAAGTTTAGCCAAACCTGTTACAAACCACCTTGACAGCACACAATTTATGCAATGACTTTTCAAGAATGCTGGAAGCAAAACAACACTCTCTCATCCTGACTCTACCGCCTAATTTTGAAACACTGTTATTTCATCTAAAAAAGTTAAATCTGGTCCTCTGGACATTCAAAAAAAAAAAAAAAAAAGCAAATCAACAAAAAAATGTAGTTTGGACAATGGGTAGGAGTCGCTCACCATTTCTGCCCGAATACTTTTGGAAAATGGCATGATAATATCTCTTCAAGAGCCCTGGAAGAAATCTCCCTTAACTCTCCAAAAGCTGTCCTGATCCTGAGGAATCTGGTCTGGCGTCAGCCCGACTGAACAAAAGGTATTCCCATCTTGATGAATAAAAATTCTCTTATGAACTGTTCCAGGTTCCTCTATGTAGCTCCTGGGGATGCAGCCACATCGTCCTACTCTTTAGACTACCACAGTCCATTCAGCACTGTCCTACTACTGGGCTTGACTTTTATTGACTTTGAGTTTGCTGATCAAACCCAGTTTTTCCCCCTTACTAGTTTGATCTAGTTAATGATTGGTTGTAGTTGTCTTTGTGCCTTTTTAAGGCATCAAGTTGTGTTACTGCTCGGCTTCTCAGCTCACCAGTCATGACACACAATCTTTCCTACAGCCCGTTTCCTTTTATGGTAAAGAGGGCTGCTTTGCTCGATTTCTACATGCAATGCTGTTTACAAGGTACTTACACACTGTTCTGCTGAGGTCAGCCTGCAGCATTCCAAAGGAAATGCTGCATCTCTCTGGAATGTTGTTAGGCCTCCCCAGATATTAGCTCCGTCAACTTGCCTTTTCCCTCTCTCCCAGAACGCAGCATGAATTCATATACATTTCATTCATTTTACTTCACCTTAATCACAGGATGTAATATGGAATACAATAATCACATCATGCATGAATACAATACCGTATATTCTATTATGATGACTTTATGTGATATTGTACTCCACTTTAATCATAGTGTAGAGTACAAATCTGTCACATTTGGGTGTCCATGGCAGAGCCGATTTTATTCTAAACGACCTTACTTGACACACCCCTAGTTTTAAGTTCAGCTTTATTAAATATCATCATTACCATCACCTGTCCCTTAAAAGGATGTGCCACCTCAACACCAATGGCAGGGACGTGCCACTTTGACACTGAGGGCAGGAACATGCCACCAATGGCAGGGATGTGCTACCTCAACACTGATAGCAGGGATGTGCCACCGACTGAAGGGACGTGCCACCTAGACAATGTCTGTGTAATTAAAGGGTTTATCCATTCAGTTCACCAGCAGATTGTTAAAGGTTCCTGTTGAAATGTGACAGAAATCAGTGTTTCCCCTAGGACACTTGCCTTTGCAGTGCGCTCATTTCTTCAAGGATTTTTGTCAACAAAGTGGGAGAGGAGATGGAGACACGTCTGTGTTGCTGCATGCTAGTTTAGCCCTACTTTAGTGCTGCAGTTGTTAACCGGGGGAACGCTTGAGAGGAATAGAACGCTACATCTGTTTGTAGCATTTTAGCTAGTGCGTCTGTATTGTGCACTGCTAGTTTATCGCTGTCAGGACAACTAAAGACCCAGTTGTCGGGGGTGGGGATTGTAGGCAAAGGAGAACATTTTGGTAGGCGGGGTGCTCGCGTCTGTTGATAGGGCGGGGCATCCTCCTTGAATAACAGTAGGGGAAACACTGGAACTGCAGTAAAACTGTTAAGCAACATTGTATTCACTGGCTGAAAAAAATAATAGGTTTTTGAGTGTTTGAGCATCTGATCAAGCTCAAAACCAGTTGATGAAGTAATGACCCCCCTGTCTGCTTACAGAACTAACTTCTTCTGACTCAGTATTTCTGGCGTTCTGATACCTAAAATATTTTTTTCTGAATGTTGGATCTGTTTCTCTCAGCTGTTAATGTAGAAAATAATTGAACATTTTCAGGTTTTTCTGTAAATTTGTCAAAAACAGTTATAATAATTTTTTTCCTGTTTTTTTTTTTCTTTTCTTTCCCCTCAGACCATCAACATCATGTCTGTTAAGACTCAGGAGGTACTTGATGTCCAAGAGAGGACCTTGAGTCTGGACCAAGACAAACAGAAACCTCTGCTGATAAAAGAAGAACCGGATGGACCAGAACTTCCAGAGATCAAAGAGGAAAAGGAGCCAGGACATCTACAGATCAATGAAGAAGAGGAGGAGCTGAACAACAGCCAGGATGAAGAGCTGCTGGAGCCGAAGCAGGAGGCTGATACTGTCATGGTGACTGTTGACTTTGAGGAGAGCGATCCGAGCGAACCAGAACCAAATATAGACCAGTCGGACTCTAACTCTCTTGAAGCTGAGAACCAAAACCACAAAGGAAGCAAAGCTAAAGGCTCCAGATCCAGCAGAAACCAGAAGCCAAACCCAAAGAAGAGACAACATAAGACAAACTGTCTTGTAGACAACACCAGCAATTCAAAAGAGCAGAAACCCGCCACAGAGAAAACACTGTACACGTGTGAAGTCTGTGGGAAAGCTTTCACTCGGAACAGTAACTTAACTTTCCACATGAAAACTCATACAGGTGAGACTTCGTACACATGTGATATGTGTGGGAAAAGTTTTACCCGGAACAGCAACTTAACCAATCATATGAGGTTTCATGCAGGAGAGAATCCATACGCCTGTGAAGTATGTGGGAAATCTCTAAGTGACAATGCCAGTTTAACTTCTCACATGAGAACTCACACAGGTGAGAAACCCTTCCTGTGTATGACCTGTGGAAAAAGTTTCAGCGCAAGAGGTAGTTTAATTTCTCACATGAGAACGCACACTGGTGAGAAGCCTTTCCCATGTCAGACCTGTGGGAAAAGTTTTGTTGTGAAGAGTCATTTGATTACTCATGTGAGAATTCATACAGGAGAGAAACCATACTCATGTCACATCTGTGAAAAGGGGTTTGGATCAAGAAGTAACTTGATGACTCACATGAGAACTCATTCAGGTGAGAAACCTTTCCCTTGTTTGAGCTGTGGGAAACATTTCACTGTAAAAAGTCATTTAATTACCCACATGAGAACCCACACTGGTGAGAAACCGTTCCCCTGTCTGACCTGTGGAAGAAGTTTTAGTCTTAAAAGTCAGATGATTCTCCATATGAGAATTCATTCTGGTGAGAAACCTTTCCCATGTGTGACATGTGGGAAAAGTTTTAGAGTAAAAACAAGCTTGACTATTCACATGAAAACTCACACAAATGAGAAGCTGTACACATGTGAAGTGTGTTTTAAAAGTTTTAGTCAAAATGGCCGCTTGACAGCTCACATGAAAACGCACTCTTGTGAGAAGCCTTTCCCATGCCTGACCTGTGGGAAAAGTTTCAGAGAGAAAACATATCTGAGTGCACACATGAGAACGCACACAGATGATCAGACATTCCTGTGCGTTATCTGTGGAAACAGCTTTAGCAGGAAGTGCAACCTGGACCGACACATGAGAACACACACCGGTGAAAAACCATACCCTTGTAAAATCTGTGGCAAATCCTTCAACCATCATGGTAGCCTGACTGTTCACATGAGAAGACACACAGGTGAGAAGCCCTATCCATGCGTCACCTGTGGGAAAAACTTCAGTGTGAAAAGTTACCTGATTATTCATATGAGATCTCACACAGGTGAGAAACCGTACTCATGTCTGACATGTAAGAAAAAATTCATTTTAAGAAGTCATCTGACTCGCCACATGAGAACTCACACGGGTGAGAAACCTTTTTGTTGTGGAACCTGTGGGAAAAGTTTCAGTGTAAGAAGTCGTTTGGCTGTTCATGTGAAAACTCACCCAGGTGAGAAGCCTGTTTTAGCCAACACTCAAAAAAACTAACTCCCTGCACGAGAACTGATGACGTCTTCTACTTTAAAGGCATAACAGCTGTCAACTCACAGCTTCTCAGTGTTTTTTGATTCTACATTACATACATCTGTCAAGAATGTCCAAGGTGAAGTCCTTTGTTTGAATGTAAACGAACATCTCATAAATGTTGGCAACAGGACTGCTGAGTTTAGAACAAATTATTCAGGTGGCATTTAGTTATGGATGTTGCGTATTTAGAGGTTATTTTATCATCATTGATGCACATGTTAAACTCGATTCAGAAACTAGAAGTCATGTATTTTGACAGCTGTTATGGTTTTAAGTTTCTGTCTCAGAATTAGTTTGGTTAAACACTTGAAATTCCACTCACTGACAAATTTAGTGATAAATTGGTTTAAATATTTTGCAGATGCTAACATTTCCTAGTTTCACACTTCTGTGGTCTTTTTAAAAATTGTATCACGTGAGCTACTAAAATAACACGGTAATATTAGTTTTTAATGAGTAGATAAATAAAGTTTTGGATTTTGATGCAAACAAAAAGAAATATGCTGGCTTCTCATCAGGCTGGGGCTGTGGGAAGAAGAAAATTATAAGAAAATACATTTTTTTTTAACTTTGAAACACGACACGTTTAGAACGAAACCTGCCACAAGACTGCATTTATATAAAATATATCAACAATATCAAATACAGCTCTAGAGTTTGTAGAAAGTCATGGCGGCTCAGAAAAATCTGCAAGAAAAACTTTCAAAATCATTGTAACATGTTAAAAACATGGAAGGTGAGCACTTTCGTAATGTTTCTAAACGTTTTAGAAACTTTGTCGCCAACAGTCACCGCTCAGAGATTCTTCTTGAACTTGCTCAGTGGACACCCGAGAGTTGGCGGGTGGTTCTGAAAGATATTTGGGGTTTTGTCCCGATACGAGATGGAAAAATCAGATAAAACCTGAACTGAGGTCATAGTTCTAAATTAAATCGACTGATTGTTCTGAGAGGCTTTTTATGTTTAAGTTCTGTTCGGAGCTCCAGTTTTCTTCTTTAGAGATCTTTGATGACATGTTGGTTCTTCTGACAGAGGATGCTGAAGAGGAATATGAAGCTTTAGAACCAAAACAAAAAGGAAAATTTGTTTAGAAAACAAAGTTAAAAACTTTTTATTTGGTAAATGGATCATGTCCCTGCAGTGTGGAGGAACGTGTTGCATGTGTAGTATTTGTTGTTTGTACCAACATAGTAGTAATGTGTACTCTGATGTATTCTCTGTAGATTTATACTTTGTTAACTGTGGCGGCCATCTTCTCTGCTGAACCAACAGGAAGTCATAGCTCCTGCTGGTTTTGTTTAACAGGAATTTATTTTGAAAGTATCCTGTTTTCTTTCTTTACGTTAAAAACAAACAGAAATAAAGTTTCTGTTCTTCAGACTGTTGTTCCTGAGTTTATTCATCCTGAGGCCTCTGGAATTAACATTTTGTACATTTGTGTTTTTAATTCAACTAAATGAACAAATAAAGACTTTGCATGAAGGTTATGTGTATTTTATTTGTTGGTTGGTTGGTTGGTTGGATGGATGGATTCTTTGATGCATCCAGTAGCATTTTCTAATTGTACAAAAAAATACATGAACAATCAAAAGAAGCAGAATACACATGCATCCATCCATCATCTTTACCCGCTTCTTCCTTTTTGGGTCGTGGGGTCACTGGTGCCCGTGTCCATTGGACATTCAAGCACCGGGGCTTCAGCGGTCTGCTGCTCTTGCTGAACCTGAAACGGGCAACTCGACCCCGGCCAGCCGTGCTCCGTCTGCCCGTCTCTGAGGAGGAGAAGACTGAGCGCGGCTGACTGAAATCAGGCTGCCTGCTGCGGACTGAACAAGAAGAATCGCTGAAGCCCCGGAGCTCGAATGTTTACAGAGAAGTTGCTAAACTTCATCATGATTCATGACCAACTCCTATCAGTTGTAGAAAACAGGAGTTCACAGCTTGATACTTGCAGCCAAGATATAGTTTACTCTCCAGGAGATATTTATCAGAACAACAGTAGACAATCATAAAAAAACATATGAATTCAAAATTAAAAGAAAATTATATTTAAATAAAACGAAACAAAAACAGCTACATAAAGTGATGTAAAATACTAAAAAACATGTCTGTGTTGGTTTATGTCGTGAACTTAGCAGATGTTTAAAGCCATTTACTGTTTTTATTTTATTTATTCATTTAAGAGACGAAACAAATTATAATCAAAAACAAAACATTGAATGAAAAGAGTGCAGAAAGAAGACAAAAATTCTTATATCTCCCTTGTATTAAAAAAAATATAAAATAACTTTAAACATTCACTTAAATCTCTTTAATATCCACTTTAAAGCTAGGGGGGAAAAAACACGTTTTGTGTTAGCAGAATTTAATTCTAACTTTAAAACTTATCCAACATTAATCAAACTTACCTCAAGTTGCCTTTTTCGACATGCTTGCATATATTTGTACAAATTGTACTTGAGAGATTATTACAGCCTCATATAAAATCATTGATGAGCATGATATCAGAACTGGATCAATATCGGCCAATAATCCAGATTTAGGTATCGGGATCGGATTGGAAGTAAAAAAAAAAGTGGATTGGTGCATCCCTAATTTCTACGACCATGTACACGTACTTGGTGTCGCACAATGAACTGCCCGGCGACAAACTGTTTCGTATGTGACACCAATGTATTAAATTTCCCTTCTTCATCCCTGATCTGGTTTAATGGTCTTTTCTTGCGTTTTCCACCCCCCAAGAGTCAAGTGATCTTTTCCTCCTTGTCTGTTGACGCCATGACTGAAATGGTGAGAAATGAAGGAATTTGTCACGAGCAAATTAAACTCAGGTCCAGCGTGGCTGCGGGAGGGGCTGGAGATTTCCTGGTGGGCTGGTCTGATGTGTGGATTGCAGGACCAGTGCTCCCTGTTTTTTATTTTTTTAGAACTTTTTATTAACAACATATAAACACAGAACACCGCTGCGGCTGGGGCTGCCAACTCTCGTTTTTTTTTTGTATGACCTGTCAATCCAGTGGGCGTGTCAGCAAATGACCAATCGTCAACTTCAATTTGTCCGAAGGTAAATGCCCCTTGCCTGCGGAGCTAGTCTGCAGCCGCTCAGGGTGGATGCTCGAGGATGAAGTCTCAACCCTCTGCGGACAGTGTGCATCAAGTCTTTACGGAAAAAGGTCCGCACGAGTATACTGGAGCCTTTAGTGGGGACTCAGTCCGCTCTGTGTTACAGAGTCCTGATGACTCCTAACTTGTGCTCCTTTTAAATGTGAACAGCTGGTTCTGTCAGCAGCAAACTGGTTGATTCACTATGAGAAGGTGCTATTTATAAGACTGAGTTTGCTGCGGCGCCTATTCAACAAACAGAACTTGTTTATTGTTTTTCTTGTTGGATTTTATACAAAAGAAGATTAGGCCCACAACTATTTTATTTATTTATTTTCAGAATTCTGGGGGGGAAAGCAATCCACTGTGGCACTGATGACCTTCTGTAGTTTCAGACTCCAGCTGGGTTTAAAAAACTCAGAACCAACAAGTCTAACAGGACTAACCATCCCCGTCACAGTGAGTCCTCATGTGTTTGACTAAATTCCCCTTTTGGCTGAAGCTCTTCCTACAGATGGGACAGGAGAAAGGCCTCTCACCTGTGTGAGTCCTCAGGTGAGTGGTCAGGTGAGAACTCTGGGTGAACCCTTTCCCACAGAGTTCACATGGATATGGTCTCTCTCCCGTGTGAACTCTTGTGTGGAATATTAAACTTTGTGTGTGCCTGAAATTTTTCCCACAGGTCAGACAGGAGAAGGGCTTCTCACCTGTGTGGGTTCTAACGTGATCGTTCAGGTGAGAACCCTTTGAGAAACGTTTGCCACATGAATCACACTGAAACGGCTTCACAGTTGCATCATAGGTTCTGGACTTCTTTCGTTCTGGACAGTCCACAACATTTCTGAGTTCTCTGGTTTCTGGACTTCTCTGGTTTCGCTTCAGCTCCTGTTCTCTGCTGGATCCAGGGTCTTCAGACCAGCTTCCTGCCTGATCCTGGTCAGCTTCAGGAGAGTTCTGAGAAAATAACTGGTCCCAATTTGGCTCTGGTTCCCAGTGAATTCTGTCCTCATGAGCAGGAGCTTCCTGTTTCAGTGAAAGCTGTGCTTCGTCCCGACTGACACAGAGTTCCTCCTGTTCCTCTTTCAGCTGTGAAAGTTCTGGTTCCTCCTCTGGAGTTTCTGGTTCCTCCTGGTCCAAACTGGAGCTCTTCCCCTGAATCCTAAGCTGCTGCTCAGTGAGAACCTTCTCCTCCTTCCAGACCTGATGCTGTGGGACATCTAGGCAGACAGAAGAAAGAGACGATAAGAAAACAAACTTGATTTTAAACTTTTCATCCACTTACTGACATAAACTCTTTAAATCAATAATCACTTCCGATTGTGTTGGGAAGAGGACGCTCCGAAAACGCAGCTCTGATCAGAACTTCAGGCGAGTCGCCCTTGTTATAAACTGTTTTTCTGTTCCTTGAATTTGTCGTTAGTGTCCTTATGTTTTTGAGATACCTGGGACACAGTCACGAGGTGCTGCAGAGTGCTTGAGCTAACTGGCAGATTTCAACGCAGGCAACGCTGAGATCGTACCATTGCTGAGTGACTGCTTGCATCAAATTCACACAACGCTCGATCATCCAACCTAAAACCAACTTCACTGCGGTCTTTTATCATTCAAGACTTCTGGTTTTTATCAGTGTATTGGAGATCTGCTAGCTCTTGCTAATGTTAGCTTAGCATAGCTTCTGGTTTTATCACTTTGTGTGTCAGATGTTTAAGTTATTCCACTACTTCCTTTAACGATAATGGTATGTAACAAATGTATTATGGTAGCTTTGGAGGAGAGGCTGTTTGAACTAGAAGATCGTCTCCGTGTTGATGAAATACCATTAGCTAGCCAGGTCCCCTTAGACAGCGCAAAGCCACTGAAGCTAGCTCCAGTTAGCAGTCTGGAACCTCAGGCCGGCTGGGTGACGGTCCGGAGCAAGCATAGTGCTAAGGCTAAGCCCCCCAGTTCACCACTGACCCGTTCACGTTTCTAATAGATTTTCCTCGCTCAGTGACACACCCGCTGAGAAGAAGACCCTGGTTATTGGAAGCTCCATAGTCCAAAACGTGGCTTTAGGGACTCCAGCGGCCATAGTCAAATGCATTCCGGGGGCCAGAGCGGGCGACATAGAATCTTATCTGAAACTGCTGACTAAGGCTAAAGCTAAATACGGTAAGATTGTTATTCACGTTGGCGGTAATGACACCCGGTCTTTTTATGTGGTGTTCAAAAAATACATCACTGTTTTCTGTATTTTTAACTTTAACCTCACATCAAAAATCAAACTTTGAAAAACTGTCCTGCGCACTCATTTGATTTTGATTTTTGTTTTCTATCAAATGTGTGACCTGGAAGTTGTTTGTGTGTGCGTGTGGTGTGTGTGCGTGCATATCTATGACATCGCTGGAAACACACTTGGCATTAATCAAAAAGTTGCTTAAGACAGGCAAGACACACACAGAGATTTCCTCTACACTGCAGCAGATGTGGATCCAACTGAGCTCGGACACGAGTGTCAGAAGAGTGTGTGCACAGAACAACAGAGTGTGTGCACAGAACAACAGAGTGTGTGCACAGAACAATAGAGTGTGTGCACAGAACAACAGAGTGTGTGCACAGAACAACAGAGTGTGTGCACA